CTGAAAAAGGATGATGAGGATTATTGGGCTGGTGAGTGCGTGGCTTGTCAGCGCGCTAAGGTGGCACCGCCACACGAAGGCCCCTTTGGAGCCGTTTCCTGGTGCCTGAGAGGAGGTTTTAAGCACGTTAATCACGACCTGGTGGTCCATTGCCCTCCTCTCAGGGCTTTTCCTACCTCCTCACCATGGTGACCAGGACGACCGTTGGCCGGAGGCGGTCCGCTCGTTTCGACGTCGGCCGCAGATGTTCGCCCGGGCCCTTCATTACAACGTGGGTGTGTGTTTTGGCACCCCGTCCGGACCCATCTTCCTCAGACAGGGGCTCTCAGTTCACGTCCGAAAGACTGCACAGGACTACCGCTTCCCACCCCTCAGGCTAAACGGCCTCTGCGAGCACTTCCATCGCATCCATGAAGGCGGCCCTCAGGCCGGACTTACGGACGGTAACTGGGTCGACAAAGCTGCCCTGGGTGATGCTGGGTCCTGAGCGGCCGCCTAAGGAGGATCTGCAGTGCTCTACAGCGGAGATGGTCTACGGGCAGCCGTTGAGAGTTCCAGGTGACTTCCTCCCAAACGCATCAGCTCCTTGGTCTGCCACGGCCCAGCGGGTTTTCCTACGGGACGCGGCGGAGGCTTTCGCTCCAGTTCCGACCACTCAGCACGGTGTGCCAAGGTCTCAAGTTCCCGCGGAGCTACGCTCGGCTGGGCACATTTTCGTCCATCATGACGCACACAGAGGCCCCCTGCTGCCCCCTTACGACGGACCTTTCCGGGTCTTGAAGCACGGTGACAAGCACCTGATGCTCGACATGGGCGGCAAGGCTGAGCACGTCTCGGTCGACCGGGTGAAGGCTGCTCACCTGGACTTGGACCAGCCGGTGGTGCTGGCTCGGTCTCCGCGACAGGGCCGCCCCCCGGCCTCGACCCCTGTCACGGATTTAAGACCTGTTGTTCTGGTCCCTCCCCTTCCGGGGGCCGCACAGGCGGAAGTCACTTTTCCAACTCCCGTGCTCAGGAGTCGTGGGGGTCGGCGTGTCGTTCCTCCCCGCCACGCTGATTTTGTTTATGTGTGAATTCTGGGGGGGCTTGTGTGGTGACACCATGTGGGACCATAATTCACCTTGTTTATTGTGTTGCCACACGGACCCTTTAGTGTGAACACCTGTTGCTTTAGCTTGCCATTCCTGCTAGCTTGTGATACAGAGCAGTTCATGTAGTAACCTAATGGAGATGAATGGATAATAAAGATTGGAAGTCCATTCTTAATACACCGCCCCACCTAGTGTCAGCAGAAAGTATTACAAATAATGATTACCAAAAAATGCAAAAAATAAATAACAAAATATATAAAATATATTTTAAGATCATGTTTAATCATCTGATTCATCTCATTGCTGTTTTAGTCTGTGTTCTTCTAATTAGTGTCTACAGTGTGTGCCTATTGAGCTATTTAGAGCCATGTGGGACAAAACCCGATCATGCCCCTCCCTCTCCCTGTCTAAGTGAACGGTGACTGTAAAAACTACACTGCGCATGCTCAGAGTATTTTCCTATTTAATGTGTGTGGCAAAAAAAAAAATGACCATAGGGGCAGTGAGCTGCCATCCCCACCATACGTCATCTCACATCATTCAGAGCTGATTGGCTGTAAGTATGTGTGCCGCGAAAAGTGTGGTGTGTGAAGAGGAGGAGAGAGACGCGTCCTAAAACCCAGAAGTAAGCTGCGCATGGGTTCCCTCCACAAAAAAGCAATGAGATTTCTTCATGGGATTTTAGAAAATAGCTGGAAATAAGATCTGTGGGAAACGTAGCTGTTAGACAAATGCACGTTTTGTTCAGCCGGATAATATCCACATGTCTACCCTACTTTTATAATTTTCTAATAATAAATCTACTCGATAGATTATTAAAATGGTTTTAGGACGCGTTACAGTGTGGCTGAAACCTTCTCTCCCTCTTCTTCTCATGCTCCCTGTCACTCTCCTTTAACTCCTCTGGTGACTTTCTTTAATTTGAAGAGTGTTTTTTGCCTGGCGCTGGCCGGTTACCGCTGGTATTAAAAACATTTTGGCGAATGGTTAGGTGGCGCGATAGTCTGTAGTGAAGAAGGAGCGCGCTCCAGCTCACAGGGAAACCTGCTCGCGCTGCGCTCCGCAGCAAACAGCTGTTTGCTTTCACCCAACAACGACAACCGCCTCACGAAACGCTATGTTGTAGCGTCAATAAAGGAAACAATTTAACTAAATTGCTAGTCAAAATACCAATACCGCAGGACATTTTCTTTTTTAAAGCAATATTTTTAGTGGCCCGAGCGGGCACGTGGAAAGTGCGTTATGCCGGCCCGGGGTGTCTAAATAGTGCTTCCGGGCCAGCGGACCATTTATAATGTCGAGCCCTGAGCAGGACTGGATAATATACTAAGCTACAGCTGTGTCTTTGCCCCCTCTAAGTGAAGCTCAGCCATGTCGCACGCACACGCACACACACTCGAGTCACAGGAGGCTGATCCGGAGATATGGACTGCCAAGAACATCCAGCAGGATTATTTGTACAACACACACGAGTATAATTCAGCTGGTGCGTTTGTGTGAGACAGTGATGGAGGAAATCTTCAGATCCTTTACTTAACTAAAAGTACTACTTGTGAAATGTAAGGGAACTCAATTAGAAGTAAAGAATGGCACTTAAGTAAAAGTATTTAAGTATGATCAGGAAAATGTAGTGTAAGTATTGAAGTAAAAGTACTTATTAAAGAGGAAAGCTATACATATTTCAAAGGAAAAACAGGAAAAACATTTGAGAAGATGGAACTGTGAAATAACCCTAAACCCTAACCGCAGATAAAAAAAATTGGCAACCCAATCGTTGTTTGTGGTGTGCTTGAATTGTATCTTGGATCGTTTAATCTACATCAAAACATCTTAGTTCAAAAGTATGTACCGGTAGTATATTTTCTGTGTAGAATAATCAACATTTATAGAGAAAGTAACAACTAACGTAGCTGTAACTTAGATATAGTGAAAAGTACAATATGAGTATAAAGTACTAAAGGCACTAAAATAAAATGCTCAAAAGTACCTCAAATTTTTACTTGACTACAGTATTTTGAGTAAGATATACTTTTTTGATCCTAATTTGGGATTTTATTTCATCACAGCATGATGTTGATAAGACATTGCACATGAATAATAAAAAAACAAACAACAACAAAGATATACATATCAGCAGTAGAAGATAAACAAAATACACAAACCGTGAATATATACATATTAATAACGTAGGATATATATCTATATCTACGTATGTATATTTATATATATATATATATATATATATATATATATATACACCATAAATATACAAATATACAGACGTGAAGTGTAAATGTACCTAGCTACTTTCCACCAGTGTGTGTGTCTATGTGTATACCGATGGAAAACAAACCACACTCGCACAACAGATCAAAGCAAATGATATGGTAATTATTGTGTGTCTGTGTATGATGTGCGCTGAGGAGGTCACAGGCAGAAACACAACAATGAGGAAAATGACTCCGACAATCACACAGAAAATTGATAGACAGGGCGTTGTTGCCATGGAGATGACTTACTCTCTCTCAGCCATAGTATTCGCCGGCAGAGTAATTGGCTTTGAAATAAGGGCGGAGAGGGAGGAGGAGGGGGGGGGGAGAGACTGCCGGTGAAAAGGAGGGTAAATGAGTTAAGCCTATTACCCTCTAATGTGGTTCCTTTAATAATTGGGACGTGTTGACCCTAACCCACGTCGGCCTGTTTTTGCCACGTGAGCGTCTGCTTTCCCCCTCTGAGCGGCCGGGTGGGGTCCGCCGGTGCACGGCAACCGACTGAACTCGTGTTTACAAGTTCCCACGTGAGCGGCTCTCTCTAAGAAGCAAAAAAATATTATGACAGTAGCAGATATACATAATTCCATCTCATGACCATGTACTGCAAACAGCGAGTGATACCCTACCACCCATTAAAGGGACATCATTATATTTAAAATGTTGGATTCAGACCAGAAAGCTGTTGAAGGCAGAACTACTGTAAACGTACAACAATATGGAATTCAGATTTGAGCTCAAAGTGCTGCTTCTCATACATGGAATTTGAAAAAAGAATAAAAACATAGACGATTAGTAAAACAGTGAATCTGTAGATGATGCTGTCCTCTAACTAAAGCACTTGGATTGAACACTTGTCTTTTTTTTCGATTCTATTTTTTGGGATTTTACAATTTTTAAAAAAGGTTTCTCAGTCAGTCTGCGTTATTGCTAGAGTGCTCCCATTAGCTGAGTTTCTAGCAGAGCAAGAAGTCATTCAAATCAATTGTAACTCTGTTACCAGGGGCGCTTTGATTCAGCAGGCTCAGCATCTCGTACTTTCCGAGCCCATCACTCATTTGCTGGATTAGCTAACTTGTTACTATGATGCCTATTCTTCTCCAGCCACGTTTCTGCTGATCTAGTGACCGCTCAGCTCATCTTCACTATATTAGCTCTACGAAGGCATACCATGACAGCATAAAATGATGGGTAGTGCTTTCAAATAAAACACATTAAATTTGTCAAACATTTGTTTTGTGAGATTTTACCAGCAGTAAACATATCAGCAACATATGTGTTTTACATTAAAACCCCACATCAAAACTGTTCAGATGCTGCTTCCCTGTCCATTCATACCTCTGCTTTTTCTTAAATAATGTCTATTTTCTGTTTGATGTATTTCCTGTATGCATGTTATATTTAGCTGTTTGTACCTATATAGTATTTCTCATATGCATTGTGAAGTGTCCTTGGGTGTCTTAAAAGATGTCTCCAACTCAAAAATAATATTATTATTATTATTATCAAATGGCCATCTACAGATTGTAGGGTTAGTGGTTCTTTCCCAAACCACTATCAAGATGTGAAAGTGTCCTCGGGAAATAAAAACAAATTCTGGGAAAGTTAACCAACCGCTGCACATGAGCCACCATCTCTAACAACTGCTCTTTACCCCAAATACTTAACCCTACGTGTGTGTGTGTGTGTGTGTGTGTGTGTGTGTGTGTGTGTGTGTGTGTGTGTGTGTGTGTGTGTGTGTGTGTGTGTGTGTGTGTGTGTGTGTGCAGGTGGCAGAGACAGACGCGGTGGTCCGGTGTTAACGTTTCCATCACGCAGCAACCACGACAGAATACGAACGGACGACCTGCGCAGACTGATCGCTTACCTCGCAGGCATCCCCAGGTTACACATTTAATACGTTTTGTTCTGCCTTGTGTGTGTGTGTGTAAAGCATCTTCATGTGTGTGAGTGTTTGCTGCCTTTTCTTTTCATGAGAAGGAGAAGCAATGCAAAACACCCGGAGCAAGTAGTGAGGCTCCGTAAGCGTGATGCAGCTGACACAAGCATGTGATGGAGGGAGACATCTTTTAAGAGCAGTTAGCTCGCCGCAGCTTCTTCACTGCCAAAAGAACCAGTTCTAGAAACACAGAGAGATGCTGAGAGGGAAAGCCTGAGCTCAGAGAGGGATGTATTAGAAAACAACTGATGGAAGGCAGGAGGGATCATTAGAGAGAGAGAGAGGATTAAAACTGAGGGAGACAGCGCATGCGTGAGGAGGTGTGTGTGAGCGAGCGGGTGTGTATGTGTGAAAGCAAAACAAAGTGTCGCAGTAGCCGAGGCGGTGCAGCAGCAGCAGCAGATACGGAGGAAGAGCAGCTCCTTACCTCGCAGGTAAAACATCTCTCCCCTCCAGATGTTTACTTTAATCTTCCGCTCCTCTCCTCCCTCCATCTGTCGTTCTCCTCCATCCTCTCTCCGTCTGCCCGCATCTCCATGGAGCTCACCACATTATCTCTGTGTGGTTTGGCGTGATTCGCTGACTTTTTTTTTAATGTCCTTTTAGGCGTTTGTAACCCACTGTCATGTCATGTTTTGCATGTTTTTGTAATCTCTTTCACCTACGTGGTATTTGACGATTAGAGGTGTTCTATTTTGGGAAACATCTGCTGCACTCTGGATAACCGCTGACTGACTGTCAAAAGAGAGGGAGAAGTTTGGAAAAGGATGGAGCCAGTAATCGAAAAGGATATTTTAAGAAAAAGGGCTTTTTTTCTAAATGCTTAAAAAGACCAAAAGGAGAAAAGGCAGCCCAGCTTTATCCATAAAAAAGTATCCAAAGAAGATATAATATTGCTCAAGAGGGTTTTCTGTTTTGCATTACATCAGACATCATGTGTGTAAGGTTGTGTAATAACCATAATCAGAGCAGCACAGAGAGATGAGGCTGCTGATGTTCAAATGTGCTGATCTGTATTTTTCTATATCCATGCTCACATTTTTTACTCATTCGTCGCAGGTTTCTGTGTGTGTGTTTCTGTGTGTGTGTGTGTGTGTGTATGTGTGTGTGTGTGTGTGTGTGTGTATGTGTGTGTGTGGGGGCGGATGTGTGGGATGTGCGTTAGCTGCGTAGGCGTCTCACCGTATAGAAAATGCGTCATCTCTCAGTTTGTTTTGATTCTCTTTTTCAATCTCTTTCTCCCTCTTGTCATCCCTCTCTCATCCTTTCCCACGCCTGTCATCTGTCTCCCCTCCCTCTGGATTATACTCCCCTCCGCCCCTCTCTCTCTCCCTCCCTCCCTCCCTCTCGTCTCTTTTAATTCCACCCACTCCCGCCGACCTCCATACATCTCCAGCGAGGAAGTGTGTAAACATGGCTTCACGGTCATCGTTGATATGCGCGGCTCCAAGTGGGACAGCATCAAGCCTCTGCTGAAGATCCTGCAGGAGACCTTCCCATCCTGCATCCACGTCGCCCTCATCATCAAACCAGACAACTTCTGGCAGAAGCAGAGGACTAACTTCGGCAGCTCAAAGTTCGAATTTGAGGTAGGAGGAGAATGCATTTGGGAAAACTGTTTATTTCAACGTCATCTTGGGTCTATGGATTAATCTGAAGCTCAAAAAAACGCCGTTAGAAGAGACAGATTGGGATTGTCATAATGTGTAGTGTGCCATGCATGACAGCAATAGGCTCATAATGTGATTGAAGTTGAAACCAGGGAAGAATGAACCACTGCAGTGACAGCTATAAAGTGTAAAAGCTTGTGTTATGTAATTCTATGAGGCTAAAGTGAGGATAAGCATAGTAGATTTTTAGCATGCGGTAATGACTACTGCAAAAACCCTGGAGATATCAGGCAGAGATATTAAATGACTCAATTCTATAGTGGCCAATTTAAAAACGAGCTATCCCTTAGTTCCCTGCCAGCTGAGTTGTCATAACGACAGCTGAGCTGCTCATTGTCAGCACATTTGGTTATGTATCTCTCCCTCCTGCATCACATTGCCCTGAAACTGAAGATCACGGGTGTTGCTGACATTTTCATCCGAAGCGTTTGAACCTTTATATATACAGTCTATGGTTTGAACCCTTCTTCACAGCTGATTAAATGATATACTCACAACAACACGCTTATCTTCATGTTCTGAGTGTAGTGTAAAGCAGTACACTAAATAAACCACAGCTTTGGCTAATCAGTGCGGGCGCTCTGCTGTTGAAGTCGAGAAGATTCCTTTACGTGATGTCGAAGCCCTGTTTCCTAAATGCACTCTAATGAGAAGCAGGTAACGTTTTCCCGCCTTCTTTGTTTGATCTGCTCTCCGTGATAATGATCAGCCTATCCCTCATCCTAATGAGACAGGGGATGATACAAACCCCCATACTGTAGCGCAGGTGGAGCCCTGTTGCTCTTATGCTCTGTACAGGATGTTCCTGGACACTCGCGTACATTGTGGTTCTCATACGTTCTGGCTACAGCAGTGTGAGTAGATGCAGTGGTGTGGAAAATGATTGTACACACACACACACACACACACACACACACACACACACACACACACACACACACACACACACACACACACTTTGTTCTGATGACACCATATTGATTATGTGAGAGGAATTATAGGCAGATGCCAAAGGGCAGGTTAGTTATCCATGAGCAGTCGTGCCATGCCACACAGACATTGATTGCACTGCATTTGAATGTGTGTGTTCACTACCAGACATCACGTAGTTCATTTATTATTATTTCTACCGGTTATATACGCAGGGGGTGTTCTTTTATCTCGCATTATTTAAGTTCATATCATAGTTGCTAGGACTGCGGTTGCATTGCTTGTGTTCACAATCATCCACGCAATACACAATATTCATGACAAGAAGTTGCAAACCCCCAATCCCACCCCTCCCCCGCTCCAGGTGGTAAACCCCCGTGTTAAAACAAACATACGACAGAGACATAATTGATATTGATATGCACAGATATCACATAAATAACCCAGGCCATTTTTAGTTTATACTACTCTGTGCCAGCCTTTGAAACCCTGCATGCGACAGAGAAAGCATTTTCCTTTCTGCGTGTGTGTGTTGGAGAATCTTCCCTGCCAGCTTGTATAAATGAAATGTAGGAAATGTTCCTCTCCCTCCTCTCTGTCGATTTGAGCCGGGATAAAAGGAAGCGGCGAGACGAAGCGCAGACAGTCCACAGCTTCCATTTGGGTTGTTGATGAATTGCTTCTCGGTTCTGCGGGAGAACAACGTTACCCTGGAGCCCCGACCCATCCTCCCTCTCACCGTTCAAATCAATTCACTTAAAACAACAATAGCAAACAATGCAATATCGGTGTTTTCCCCTGGCAAAAGCCATTTAGCTTACCCAAGGACAACAGTGTGTTTCTGCGTTGTTTGGCCGACACAAAGCTATCTCGCTATCCCTCTGTCTCCATCCGTCTCCGGCCATGTGTGTGGGGGTGTTGTGCGGAGGTGGCTCAACAGAAACACAGAGGCATCGAAACCAAACAGGGAGACATTCCCTTACTGTATCTCTGAACTGATATTGTGATATGCACTTGTTGCACGGAGAGGATTGGGTTTTCTTTTAACTCTAAAACAAAAGATGACCAAAGAGAAGTGTTCTGGTGTCACATTATGCAACATGTGAGCAAGAGCTCGTTGAGCTATGAGAGATGTGGACGTTTCCAAGCGATTTGTTTTCAAGTGGTTTCTTTTTAGTGTTGTCGTGTGGTATTGTGAAGCTGCAGCGTGTTGAATTAGCAGGATCAAATGTGCTTTAGTCACACCATGGAGGTTTTAAGTTATTAATTACAGAGCTTTCCCTTAAATTACATCCCTACATCTCTGCTCATTAACAAATCTTAAGCTGCTTTATTTTGGGAACCAGCGGTTGGTTATGTCTTCCCTTACTAAATACAAACCGTCAGGACACAGTGCGAGGAGCGGAGAGATTAGAAGCATTTTGCACCTAATTGACTGAATTAATACTTTTAAACACGTTTGAATCCTTTTCTCACTCACCATCTTGGCTAATTGACCTCCACCCTTTCTTCCTAGACCACCATGGTGTCACTAGAGGGCCTGACGAAGGTCGTGGACCCCTCCCAGCTGACGTCAGACTTCGACGGCAGCCTGGAGTATAACCATGAGGAGTGGATAGAGGTGAGATTGGTCCTTCATTCTGTCACTCAAGCCCGGTCCAAAAATCTATCTTGAAATCTTTGAAATCCTTTAAACACCCACTGACTTAAATTAATACAGAAGTGCCTTACTCAACTATCAGAAATCCAGGCATGAAAATATGTGCTTGAATTAGCAGTGACTGTTTGCAGGTGTAGCAATAAAAGAGTTATTCTCATTGTTAGCAGAACTCTATTCTAAATCCGTTATATTTGGTGATATTTGTATCTCACTCCTTCTTACTTTGGGTGTGTTTTCATGCAGGTGCGTGTGGCGTTCGAGGAGTTCTCCGGTCACGCCACTCAGATGCTGGCTCGTCTTGAGGAGATGCAGGAAACGGTGTCGAGGAAAGACTTCCCCCAGGATCTGGAAGGAGCCCGGCGGATGATAGAAGAACACGCCACGCTGAAGAAGAAAGTCATAAAAGCCCCGATAGAGGAGCTGGACACAGAGGGGCAGAGGTAGGCACGCAGGAATGCTCGGGGCTTTCCTTTTTCTGCTTGATATAAGACTGGAGATGAACACAATAACTTAGAATAATAATAATAATAAGAATAACTTCTTCCACATATTGTACTTGGAGCCTTTTCACTTTTACTTGGAGATCCGGCAGTGGCTCAGTCAGTAGGGGCTTGGACTGTGAGCCGTAGGGTCGCCGGTTCAAGTACCCGACCAGACCTAAATATGGAGTGTGGACTGCTACTTGGACAGGTCCCAGTTCACCTCCTGCCTTGCCGTGGTACCCTTGAGCAAGGCACCGGACATCCCCCTCCCCCCCCCTCCCATTGCTCCCCGGGCGCTGTACAATAGCTGCCCACTGCTCCTAGTCAGGGACGTGCACAGGTACGGGCTTTTTGGCTGACCTGCCCCTCTGGAGAGAGC